CAAAAAAATAAAGGTTATAAAAACATAAATGAGACAATCTAATATTTATATCCAAGAGTTATTAAAATGATATTGAGCTAAAAATCTGATTACAAACAAATTCTGGATCTATTTTCCTGCCTTAAATGTGCCGATTACCTACACATGCTGCAAGAATACATCTTTGAAAGAATGCAGCCATAAGGTTAGCTGACCTAAAAAAGCAGAAAAATCCAGTCCAATAGGCATTAAAACAAAGCTTCACTTATACAACCGTCAAATTAAATCACACGTCCCTGAAACATGCGAAAAGGCTGTTTTTTAATCTAAATGGTTAACTTTTAATGCTTCGCTTTCTGCAGCACAACACAGTTAATAAATATGCAAATTTAGATCATTTGATGATTTTCTTACCGAATTAACTGAAGTCCAAGTGTGGCTACAGAACTAAATTGAAACAACTTGGGAAACAAGTGATGATCGCTTGACTCCATAGTCCAAAGTGAAACTTATGTGAAGCTGATCGACGTTGTCTGCGCTTGAGCCCAACGCAGCGCGCTGATTGGCCCGTTTTCAGGCGCCTTAAGTGAAACGATGCTCCAGACTTCATGGGGAAAGAAACCGTTTTGATATTTTTTTATTGTTTCAAATGTTATTGTTTAAAATACATACAAAATGTTATGTAAATTATGTATGAATAAATACAAAATACACGAGGTTATGATTTTAATGCTTTTGCAATCATTAGATGTATTTAAATCAATAATTTAGGCTGCTGGCTGTAGGCCTGACTAGTTGTTGACTTTGAATTTCCTCCTTGTTGTCCTCGTCATTTGGCAAGTTCTCCATGTACTCTAAAGTTATAGAGGTAGTCCGAATGTCCTGCTCTCCTTGAGTGTTTCTTAACACAAGTTAGCAGTAAGCCTAACTCCACTTTGCTGGGGGTGGGGCTCCACTGGGTCTTCCTTTTCTTTTTGCTGACTGGAGCCAGAATTGATCAGTGCACGGGCCACAGATGCTTTGAAGATGAGGAGATTCACCTTTTCCAATCCAGACATCAAGTAGAGTTGCCAGGCATTTACAACAGTCACATCCAAAAAATGAAAGAACACTCTGATGTACCATCGCTTGCTTTTACATCTGTGGGGATACATTGCCACACACTGGTAAACAAGATCCACTCCACCCATGTGTTGGTTATAAAGGGCCACCAAGTATGGTCTTTGGACACTGACATTGGTTTGTTCTTTCTTCAGCCATCTTTCGGCCGTGTCTTCAGGGGACTGCACAGGTCGATGCCATGTGGATGACTGAGCTGTTGAGCCAACCTGTGACAGTGATGTTACTGTTTGTGCTGACAAGAGAGCAGGCTCCTCTGCCTTCTTTTTTCAGTTGTTTTTCACTCTTTAAGTTTCTCACTTGCTCCTTTCACTCTGTTTCTGCTGCATGTACCTGTGCCATAGATGTCAAGGTCTTTTAAGGCCTCACAAAAAACACCTTTTTGGGCTTTGTGTCATCTCAAAGGCGCATCACTACATCTCCAGCCATTCCCAAACCACTGCTGTGACCCCTAATTGCTGAGCCCTGGTATATTTCAAATTTGTACATATAACCCAAGGACCCTACCCTGACCAACACTTTTACTCCCCAGGGTTTGGGCTTTTTGGGTATGTATTGCTTAATTGACAGTTGGCCTTTGAAGGGAATTATTTGCTCATCAATTGATTGGAATCCTTCAGGGTTTGCTGCCATCAGGAATATTTTTTGAAGTGTACTTGGCACTGGTGCTATTTTGAAGAGCCTGTCTGTGTTTGCCGGCTGGTGGGTACAGTTATCCACAAAGTGCAGATAACTCAGGATTTGCTCATATCTGTTTACAGACATAGCATCTGCTACCCCACAGGTCAACTTGTAGAAGGTAGTCAACCTTTTCCAACAACTCTAGCCTGGAGAGATGTCCCTGATCCTTACATCTAAAGATTGTAGCTTGTGCACAACATAAAAGTTAACAGCTCATTCTCATGTTTGTTCAGAAAATTAAGTCAGGGTTAAGATTAGGATGAGAAAGCCTACCATGTCTGTTAGAGTTGGTGTAAGAGACAACTTTGAAGGTCGTGAGTGCAGGAAAATAATCCACCAAATACAAGCTGATGAACATGAGCAGAAGACGACAGTGAGATATCTAACCTCTCTAATTTGTATTTTTGGCTTACAGGCCGATAAAGTTGGTTCCTTCCGCCATGTGACTCTAAAGTTGATCAACAACTGGGGTTGCTGTCTTTAATTTCTTGTAAAAAAGGTTTTTAGTGTTAATTTTGTGACAGTACATTGAGTCTTTTATTTTGAAGGTCAGGAATGGGGCAGGAAATCAGCCACTTCATCTAGTTTTGCACTCAGTCACAGTTAAGAGGTGCATCTGTTGTAATCAGCTTAGAGACATCACCATCTCTAAGTTTTCATTCTATATTCTTGAGTAGATTTTATTTAATATGTTGTGCTTTTGGTCTCCGGTGTGATGGAGGCGTGTGGTAGTTGCAGATGCACGACAAGAATGAAAGGTCTCTTGCATGAACTTCTTCCAGCACAGATGAATTACGACAACCGAGCTGTTCTCACAGATGTGCATGAGTGTGCACCTCATGCACACTCATGCTCCAGTGTGCACCTCATGCACACTCATGCTCCAGTGTGCATAAGTGGCTCCAGTGTGCCCATCATGCAGTTTTGTGTCCCCATCTTGGTGCCTGCACGTTGGCGTTTACCCCAGTGTGCAGGCACTCCAGAAAGGGTGGCACACTCATCATGCTCCAGTGTGCATGTGCCCCTCATGCACACACACACAGACACAGGCATTCATGCCTCTAGTGTGCATGTGCCGGGGCATGCATGTGCATGAGTGTGCCCCTGATGCACACTCATGCTCCAGTGTGCATGAGGGGCTCCAGTGTGCCCTTCATGCAGTTATGTGTCCCCATCTTGGTGCCTGCACGTTGGGGTGAACCCCAACGTGCAGGCACTCGGAGGACTCTAAAAATAACTCCAGAAAGAGTAGCGCACACTTTAATGAACGGATGGCACACTCATGCACACTGGTTGAGGAAGTGCTTCCAGTGTGACTGGAGTATGAGGGCATGAGTGTGCATGAGTGTGACCCTCATGCACATGCATGCTCCAGTATGCATGTGCCCCTCATGCACATGCATGTGTGCACACTCATTAGGGGCTCCAGTGTGCTCCTCATGCACACTGGAGTGCATGAGGTTCAGGGTTCTGACCGTTGTCTGTCCTTATGGGCCAAACAACAGTTCAGATTACCCACCCTTTTGGTACGGGGTATTGGAGTGTGCCTCTCAGGGTCATTTGTTCTACTGGGGTCTGCAACGGGGCAATGTCAGTGAGACATGGAGGGATGTGGTTGGGTAAATGGACCCGCTGATCTAAACTCCAGTGGTGAACTGTTGCTGGACTTCTGTGCTTGTCATGGATTGTCCTGTGCATAGCACTATTACATTGCCATAAGCAATGTAATAGGTCCCCTTTCTCCACCATGCATACACAAATATAGAAAGTTGGGGTTACATTTATTCAGTTTTATAGCTGCATTCAGATATAAGTTCACACAATAGTTCCAAAACTTTGAAGTGCATATGAAAACAGGACTAACAATAACAAGAATAGCAGAAACTTTTTGATAATGTGCAAGTAAGTAGCACAACTTTGTCAAAATGTACATAATGTGCATATTGAACTGTAAATATATAACAGGAAATGTACAATCCAGTGTGTCGGTGTAGAGAAAGCGCTCTGCAGTAATAACGGAAATGTTTTTATCAAACATGTCTAAAAACTGCAATAACTGCATGTAAATGTCAGTAGGGAAGTAAACATTTCTTGATTTTGTTTAGAGCAGTGATTTGATTGACTAATTTAACAAGATAATTTTTTTTTCGTACCTTAATTTTTAAAATGCTTTAAATGAATTTAAAAGAGGCAGAAATGAATTGTGGGCAGGTTCTGTGGAGCATTCTGATGTCACATAAGCTGACTTGTCATCAGGCGCTTTTGGAACTTTTGTCAATAAGAGCCGAGTTCCTACAGGAATTCATCCATTTGAAGAGTTAGACGTCGGATAGATTACTTCAAAAAATTCAAGAAATTGAACTGAGCTTCAGTTTTTCGAGTAAGTATTTATTTAGAAATTAGTGAAGCAAAGAAAAAAATGACATTTTGTGCTAGTATTTTGAATGAAGTGTGCAGCAATGTTGAAAATAAGTTGAGCAAGACAAGTTGTTAGTAATCAGTTTTTTTAGCTCAACATCAAAACAATTTGAGTAACTTTTTGATGTAAACATTAAATGTCTTATTTGTGTTTTTAGCACCTTTGCATTTTGCAAACTTCACTGAGTATTGAAACAGCAGAAAAATATTAAGGAGTTCTACTTGCAAAAAAAAGTTTCCTTTAATTTTTATGGATGGTTGGTGATTTTCACACATGAAATGATTAATTTGATTTGATAGGTAACTAAATGATGTTCTGATCAACATTAAATGAAGTTTTTGATATATTACATCTTTAAATTTACAGTGTTTACGAGGAAAATGACTTTTACTGTAGAGTTGTGTTGGTACATTTTGGACATGCTTTGCACCAAAATGTACCACTTTTGCATGTCTTTGGTTTTTTACAGTCATGCTAAGAAGAAGTGAACGTTTGAGAAACAACGGATATTATGATATGGATGGACAACCTGTTATTTCATACAGGGAGACGCCAATCAGGTAGATCAAATCATCAATTTTCATTAAGTCATATGTTTTATGCAGTCATCTGCTGATCAGTGTACATTTTAACTCGCTTGTATATTTTTCATCTAGGGCCATAAGGAGGCGCATAACAGGTCGTCCTGCAAACCACCCTGCAATCACATTTAGACAGAGGTCACATTATTCTGGTGACAATGTGATTGACAGAGAAAGACATATGATGATGACTCTGTTGCAGGGTGGTTTTGATATATCAGTCTTTGTCTTTCTCATCTTCGTCACTTTTGGTAAATACTCTCCTACAAACAGTCAATTTGGAAGTGTTACAGAAATTCTGTATTTTGAAATTTGTCTCACTGTTGTCTTCTGCTCATGTTCATCAGGATGTATTTGCTGTATTATTTCATTCCACTCACGATCTTCAGAGTTGTCTCTCACAACTCTAACAGACATGGTAGGCTTTCTCTTTCTAATCTTAACACCGATTTAATTATCATGATCAAACATGAGAACAAGCTGTTAATTTTTATGTTGTGCACAGATTACGATCTTTGGACGCAAGGATCAAAGACATCTCTCCAACCTGGAGTTGTTGGAGCAGAAGGTTGACTACCTTCTGCCACAAGCAGACCTGTGGCCCAACTTTGCTCTGGAGTCTCAAGGCGAGCCATTACAAATAAGATCATCAACTAGATTTCAAATTTTCAGAATTAAAATTTTCTAACTCACATTATTTCTGTTTTTGTGTTTTGTGTACAGGAGCAAATATTTTACACAAGATGACCTCAGAGGCTTATGACATCAATAAAGAAGTTGGAAGGTTTGGGAAATTGTTCAAGAGACCTCCTATTGGCCCAGGCATTGTTATTAAGGTTTGAATGATGATCAGATCATTAAAAAAATAAAAGTGGTGTTTCTTGGTGATATATTATTAGGCTTTATGATTTACTTTTCTCTTAGTCTTGGTACCCCACTTAAATTTTGTTCTCTGTTTTCAGGGAAAAAATCGTCTGCAACCTGGAAAATGCTGGGCCTTTCCAGGTTTCCAGGGACGTTTGGGCGTCTCACTTTCACACCCAGCCACCATCAGACATGTGTCCCTGGGTCACATTGCTAAGACTGTGTCCCCAACGTCCTCTGTCTCCAGTGCTCCCAAAGAATTTTCTGTATATGTAAGTCAAATAAAATGAGTGTCAAAAGTGTAATATAGATATAGCCATGTATAGTATATATTAAGTATACATTCAAAATGTGATAGCATTGATTCCATATGACATTGCTTGATCTCATTCTAAACCATGCAAACTTTCTGTCTGCACTAATGAATTTTCTGTTTATCTCAGGATGTGATATGTTTTCTGATACACCGACTAACTTTCACATATCTTGAAAGAACAAGATAATGAACTGAATTTTTATCTAATTTTGTCTCAGGGAAAGAAGAATTTAGAAGATGAGGAAACTCATTTGGGAACTTTCCAATACGATGAAGATGGAGACCAAATACAGACCTTCAAACTTCCTGTAAATATGTCAAATTAATGTTTTATTAACCAAATACAGTTCTCTCAGAAGCCCAGACTGACCTACCCTGTTATAAATATTGATATATTGAAATGATGATCATATTCTAACATACAATCATAAGGTTCTCTCTGGGTATTACTAGCATTCAATTTAAAAACATACTTTGAATAAAGTACCGTATTATTGTTTCATTCAAAAGGCTTCAATGAAAAACTCTACTTAAACCATAAAAATGTATGTTAATCTTGCACTTTCAGAGTAGTGGTAACTGATAAAAAGCATTGAAAAATTAATCAATTAGTTAAGTTGTCTAAATAGTGCCTAAATGTAATGCAGCCACATTAAGCTTTGTTATTGAACCATAACTATTCCAAAACACAGAGATACAAAGTGTTTAACTTGAACAAATGGAAAAAACTGTAGATTTATTTGGCCATCTATTAAGGAGGAAAATATTGTTGTCTTGGCATAAATCTCATTGAGACTTTTATTACATCACGGTAACAAAATACAAAAAGTCAACCTCTTATTATTAAGATGTGGGAGATTCTTCAATCAACACGGAGACTCGGATTTCTCTTACTGAACATTTCTGTTCAGTTTTTATTGAGGAGAAAACAGTGACAGCTGATCACAGCTGTTTGTTACCTAGCAACCAAAATCAACAGAAGCAAGACAGTGACGAAATACAGAACCACATCCGGTTTAGTATTCTTCAAAATAAAAGACTTCCTCTATTCAAATAAATTATGCCTCGCACTTAAATATGTTTCACTGTAGCTTTTGTAATTATTTACAATCATGTTAATTTAAATAAATAATGATCATCATGTAAATTATGCTCAACATACAATTGTAAGGAAGTCACTTAAAATGCAAATTGTACTTAACAAATAAATAAAAGTGTAAAAAAGTCACAACACTTTTCACAAAACAATTTTTTGTCTCTGTATAACAAACAACAAAATCCAGTGTTACTACAGAACATTTTGTTTTCTGGTTAGCAAGATATCAGTATAATTACCTCGCTATCTTGAGATAAACTATGCAAAATGTATTTACAGCAAGGAAAGTTGAACTAGGCTTCCATCAGACAGACCTCCTTTGTTTCTATCATCTATTTGCAACTATGGATTATCAATCTAACCTCCCTAATTTGTATCTCTTTTGCCTTACAGGCCGATAAAGTTGGTTCCTTCCGTCATGTTACTCTAAAGGTGAACAGCAACTGGGGTCATCCGGACTACACCTGCCTCTATAACTTTAGAGTGCATGGAGAAATTGCAAAATGACGAGGAGAACAAAGAGAGATGGATGAGATATGGAGAAAACTATTTTTTTACCCTTTGATATATCTCTTTTGTATAGTTTACACAATTAATTTTAATTCCTCACAAAAAGTCCTCACAGTCAACCATAAGTAGCACAATGGCACAGTTAGTAGCACTGTTACCTTTCAGAAAGAGGTTCAGACGTAATAAAAGTGGGATTTGTGGGTTTTCTCCGGGTGCTCCGGCTTCCTCCCACAGACATTTTAAAATTGGCAGGTGTGGGTTCTCTCTGGGTGCTCCGGCTTCCTCCCTCAGAAATAATAAAAGTAGGATTTGTGGGTTCTCTCTGGGTGCTCCGGTTTCCTCCCACAGACATTTTAAAATTGGCAGGTGTGGGTTCTCTCTGGAAGCTCCGGCTTCCTCCCACAGAAATAATAAAAGTGGGATTTGTGGGTTTTCTCCGGGTGCTCCGGCTTCCTCCCACAGATATTTTAAAATTGGCACGTGTGGGTTCTCTCTGGAAGCTCCGGCTTCCTCCCTCAGAAATAATAAAAGTGGGATTTGTGGGTTCTTTCTGGAAGCTCCGGCTTCCTCCCACAGAAATAATAAAAGTAGGATTTGTGGGTTCTCTCTGGGTGCTCCGGCTTCCTCCCACAATAAAACTTGACTGTTCGGTTAATTGGTCTGCCCAAAATCTCCTCAGCTGTGAATATGTGCTGCATGGTTGACAACATAACGACATAAACTTTCTGATAACATTAACATATTCAAACACAAACTTAAACTCTTAATCAAATTGAAAGATTGTCTGTCCAGGATATGGGAATACAGCAACATGATTTTGTAGATAATGATGCACTAACACAATTCTTTAAGTTCTTTCACAGATATTGAAGTTTAACTTTTTGTTTCATGTTATTCTTTCGGGACTGATTCCAGTGAGAGGTAGTTTACTGCTACAGGTTCAGACTATTTTCTGTTAATATCTATTGTATAGACTTTCCCAGATCTACCTTTTGTAACATGTGTATTGTAAACTAATATTGTAATTGAATCTGTCTTTCTTTCAGAAGGTTTGTTGACAGTTTTGTGTTTGTGTGTTTTTTATTTTTGCCCTCTTGAAGCCAACCAGCCTCGGCAGATGGCTGCTCATCCTGAGCCTGGTTCTGCTGGAGGTTTCTTCCTTTTAAAGGGAGTTTTCCTCTCCACTGTTGCCTTGTGCTTGCTCAGGATGGGGGATCCCTTGGATTAAACATCCATCGCGATCTGCTGGTGACCCCTCCGCAGAATCGCCACCTTAACGTGGTGGAGGGGTTTGAGTATCCCCATGACCCAGATGGAGATTTTGTCTTGGGGTTCAGCCAATAGTGAGGCTTCCCAGGGCAGGCTGCCATTGGGGAGGGATCAGACTAAGAGCGATTCAAGGTTTTCAATGAAGGGCTACCAAAGGAATCAGGTATTTCTAGGACACAGACAGTTATTCCAAGTACGGTTTTGACGGAAGTTTCTCCCTATAAAAAGTCAGTAATCTTCTTCACTGATAAAAATGACAATGAATTCACTGTACTCCAATGCCCTCCTGTGACTGCTAATTGTGCTTCCATTAAGGTACCAGAATGTGAGGGTCCTAAAGTCACATGGGGACTTTGGTCTATTTGGCCCAAGGGCTTCTGTTCCACATGGCCAACGAGTGAGCAGTGTGAGACAAGTGGAGATTTGAGACAGACACACAGGCATGGAAGGTTCTGGCTCAATACTTGGAGAGGAGCCACTCACCCACACTTGAAGGAGGTCCACACCTTAGAGCAGTTGCCTACACCTGAAGGGGCCAATGGTCCATGTTAGAAGGAGAACTGCACATGACAGAGGGCCAGAAGGAGGCGTGCACATGTCAGTTCAGTGGTTCCCAGGTATATGCCAACATGCCTGGGCTTCTGTCTACATGTCTGGGATGGTGCCCACATACTCTTGACTCGTGTTTTAAAAATAAAGGCCTCTAAAGTGCTTCAAATGGTTACTGGTGTTATATCCACTCATTCTTCTTTGATGGCCTTTGTGCCAGACATGCAACATTGCATGGTGTAACCCACAAGGAAAGTTACTTTAAATACACCTGATAATAGTAAGTGGCATGTAATTCAATTTACTTCTCTGACTTATACTAATACTCTTGAAGCATATTTGAAAAAGTTGGGCCTGATCAAAAGATTCTAAATTCTAGGCAGCCTAGCTGTGAATAACAAGGGAGTGCACAAAGTGTCAATAAGAAAGAGTAAAAATAATCATATAAACAATTTAGTTTCATGTACAATTGAAACAAAATTACGTACGTTTTTTTTTTAAAACATAAAATAACAGTCTTTTTAATGTATCAGTCAATTCAGTGTTTGTCTAGTCTCTTCCAATGTGTCAGTCAATTCTCTTCAGTTTTTCAAGGATAGTGACCAGTCGGGTCACTATCTACCATATCACTGGGTTCTCTGGGCTGAGGCTCGCCATCCGAATTCAGAAAAAGTGGCTCTTGAGGTCACTGGGCACTCCAGGTCAAAAGTGCACCGAAACATAAGAAAGAAAAAAAACAACAAAAAGCCTGATCTGGAACAAGGCCAAAGTAAAACATCTGAGAATATAAGATGCCAATATCAATTAAACCTATGTATCAATAAATTATGTTATAATCCAGAAATCTTCCATCATTGCTCAAGTTTTTCTTTTCAGCTTGTACAAAAATCGTCAGTTTACCAGAATACAATGTTACTTACACATCAGTAAAACGAAAGAAATTAGCTTAATATGTGGACAAGAAAAATAATATTAAATAATAATAATGATATATTTCAATCAAAAAATAAGTACAACTACAAAGAAAAAATATAACATACACAACAATAATAATACAAAATTTTACAGTACCATTTTATTTTTATTGAATTTGGTCAGATTTTTGCCAAATTTCAACCAATTTACTGAGCCAACTGCCGAGCACGTGCGGTCACTCACCGATAGCTAACGGGGATGTTTTTCCCCGTCTCAGCTGCTCTCAAAGGAGACTTTCAGAGATAAAACAACAACAACAAAACAAATTCACTATTTTCAATTATAAATGTTGCGAAATTATGCTAATATTTTTATTTTTACCGTTTGTCTAGATTTTACAAGCTATTTCAGGCTCTAACGAAAACAAGGGTCAGCTGTTTGTTCTCAACCGTGTCTGACACGTTCTGAGCAGAATCCCAGCGCCGTAGTGAAAGAGGCGGGACAATCAACGCCATTGGCTGATATAATATCAGACCAGGCCAGCCATTGGTTGTCAAATCCACCAGTAAAACAACCACTTAAAGGCCTATTTCACAGATTTTAAAGAATTTTAGCACTTTCTGATATTTCTGAGTAAAACAAAACATAAAATCTATTTATACTTTTTAATCTTGTAAAAAAAACGACATTAAATTAACTTCATAAACTTTTTACTCTTTTTAACACTGGCTTACAATGGCATGTGCACGGTTTTTCTTCAGAAAACATTCTAAGCCCAGGGGGTTGAGGCACCAAGGCTGTTGACAGGAAACATAAGATATTACTGTGTAATTGAGTTACTGGAAGACAATACTTAAACCCAAAACTATAGAATCCAAAAAAATATATAACATACAGAAAAAAATACAATAAAAAGAAATATCAGTGACTTGCAATTCTGTTAAATTCAAATTACGTTATCAGTTTGTCGATCCAAAAGCACAATATAATGCTGATCACAT